GGGGTACCCTAGCGTCTTTTCAGCAGGTATATGGCCATCTTCCCTGTCAATATGACAGGGTATGGGATCGCCTAGGAGACTAAACTCTGGTGTGTCTGTGAGAATATTTCCAGAGAGGTTTTGACTGAGGAGGGAAAACCCATTCACTACCCGTGTGGTACTATCCCACGGCCTGGGGTCCCAGACCGAATAAAAAGGGACAGAGTCAGGTGAGCACCAGTAGTCATCTTTCCCAGCTTGGTGACCATGGCCTCAATGTCACCGCCTGTCTCATACTCCTGATACCACAGCTAGAGCGACCCTTGCACACATGCCCTTCTGCCTCATGGCAAACGGTAGCATCTCACAATGTGAGTCAAAGTAAATCCCTCCTCCCTTCAGTTGCTTTGGTCAGGTATTGTCACAGCTGCTGGGAACCAACATGTCTTCCAAAAGAAAGTTAACCCCCGAAGCCAGGACTGGTGAAGAAGGAGCCAGCATGGGACTGTCTGTGGCTTGAGTAGCTATGGAAGACCACAAGCAAGGCTTGAGGTATGACACATGCAGTCTTCATGAGTGGACCCACCAGCCAACAAATCTACTCCACTTTTTAAAAGTAATTGAAATCTAACCTCTCTGCTCCTCTGTGGTAGCCATGAGTTGAGTGGTCAACATCCCTTGGCAGTTACTGTCTAGCATGGTGGACAGCCCAGAGTCTGCTTTTGTGAATGAGGCCGCTGCAACAGTTGGGACTGTACTGGCAAAATGGGAATACTAGAACAGGAAGAGGTCAGAGAAGAGCTGGAAAGGTCTCGGAGGACTCTGTAAGTTGTCCCGGGGCCTTTGGAGCCTGCAGCACAATGAGGAGCCCCGCATGACTTTAAGGGAGGATACACAATCATTCAATTCACATATGCGAACTATCATTCTGTTCCATTGAAAATGAGCTATAAAAGGCAGGCAAGAGCAGTTAGCTATTGCAGCTGTCTTAGCTGGGGATGACGACGATGGCCATTTGTTTGGTTACCGCAAAAGGGGAAGCGAACGATAAAGAGATTCAGGTCATTTTTTAGAGATGGGAACAAGTGCTTTTGTTAGCGGACAAGAAGGGCAGCAAGCCAGGGCAACTTTGTGGATCTGGGAAGCTGGGTAGATGGCATCGTTTTTTTTTTTTTTTTTTTTTTTTTTTGGTTTTTTGTTTTTCCAGAGATGAGAGACCAGGGAGGAGAAAGTGAGTATGTAGGTAGAAGAGAGGAGAGGGAGGGGGCTGGATGTTAAGACATTTCCTAGTTTAGGTACTCGGTGTTAACTCATTGTCAGTGCAGGGAGGTCAGAAAGGCAGTAGAGAATAAATAAAGCCATACTTAGGAGTGAGAAAATTTTTTAAAAAAATTACAAGAGAGTTCTCTTAAGTGAAACTATATTTGACAACATGTAAAGGATTTACACAAAGAACTAAAAAAGCCACACTGGTTAGAATTGGCCAAGTGGAGGGCTTTCTCCAGCTAGACAGACAAGCCGTTTTTTTCTTCTATTATCTATGTGTGGTCACTTTCCTGAATCAGGACTGATCGCTACCTGTTTCAAAGGGCAGTGTTCATACTAGGCTGTTTCGAGCCTGTCTTATCCCCTGTGGCCTTTCACCTAACTAGTGATTGTTCAAGGACGTTTCCCTCCCTGTCTATCCCTGCAGCTCTCCTTCTGGATGCTTTTCATCTCCTTCGTGGGCAGAACAAGGGGCCTTCCTTCCTTTCGGCTAACCTTCTGATTGTGATTTTTGTTTGAAAACAGGGAGAAAGCCTGGTGTCAGGACGTTGTTTCTTTTACAGTACTGACCAGCTCTAAGATGCCATCAACACACAGACCCAGTGACGTTTTGCTACTGTTAGCAAATGGCAAGTGCTTTGCTAGGACACGTCATTATTCTTGCCAATTAACACTGTTTGAAAGATCGTGCACGCATGTGGCCATTCATCTGCCATGTGCGTGCATGGCAATTAGAGACTACTCTGTGGAGTTGGGCCTTTGTTCCCACCTTAATGTGGTTCCTGGGATTGAACTCAAGGCCTTGGGGCTTTGCCCAGTAAGTGATTTTTACCCATGGTAATCTCACCAGTCTGTATATGACAGCTTATAAACAATGTCTGATGTCAATCTTGTGAGAGTTCTGTTTTGATGATCATATGCCACTATTTTTCCTGAAAAAAACAAAAAACAAAAATGAAGATGTGTGTGGAGGTAGAAGACAGAGAAAATGTAAGTATTCTTTCATCCCCCACTTGGATATTTTTTCTTTCCAAATTTAACAAGTGCCTGTTTTTTTGTTTTTGTTTTTTGTTGTTGTTGTTTTGTGCTTTCCCCGTGTCAAGAAGCAGCAGGCTTTTGACTTTCAAGTGTCCCAGGTAGGCCCTGGCATATGAATCATGGCCACGATGGAAATTCACGGAACTGTGTGTGCATGCTAGTGGCTCATTTGTCTTTGGCAAAGGCCTTGCTACTCCTGTTTTCTCAATTTTTAGACAGATGGTGCTGCTGCCACTGACTAGCTGCCCGACGCATGCTGCTGGGCAGTGGCACAGATATGGACATGTGACAGAGAGGAGTTGGCTGTGGGGTCACACCCCCTCCCGTTCATTGATGCCTGCTGCTTTGTGGACACCCGGCTGGGACTGCAGTAGGCTCTTTCCCATAAAAAGAAACCTACCACTTAAGCCGCGTTTTCCCACTGCCCCCGTGAATCCTTTTCATTTCATCAGTCTCCCCTCGGCACGTTTTGTTGAATCGTCCCTACACACAAAACACAGTGGCATTTTGAGCCAGTTATCCAAATACTCCAGGCTATAAACACACTTTAACTTGGATCACCAAGATAATTGAAACAAAGTCAGTTTATTATTATTTGTGAGAGTCAAATGACACCCAGATAACTCGGACAAGAGTCGATGTGTTTTACTCCAGGAACACTGTGACATCATTTTGAATCTGCTGAACAGATTGAGAATTTCTTTTCGTAAAGTGCCAAAAGAGTTAACGTGGTTTTTTCAAACATCACATACTGTGGTGTATGACCGTGTAATCATTAGTCAGGAGAGGGCTTTGTTCTTTGTGGGTGTGTTTCACTAACAGGGCTTCCTGGCTCTTCAGTCACCGCTAAAGGAACCCCAGCAAACAGTGTAATTTTACCAAGCACAAACAACAACTGCTGACTAATGATATTTCTTTTTCTTTCCAGTATCCCATATGTATCCCAGGCTTGCTCCCACATCACACATTTTTCCTGTCTGAGCACTCTAGGTCTTGGGATTGCACGCACCGTCATTTCCTGATGGATTTTTAAAATTACTTTTTTTAAGTCATGAAAGAACATGTGTGAGTGCAGGTGGCTGTGAGGCCAGAAGAGGGCACCAGAGGATCCCCTGGCGCTGGAGTTAAATCCACAGTTCTGAGCCACCAGGTGTGGGTGCTGGGAACTCCTTGGGTTGTCTGAAAGATCAGTGCAGGCTCTTAATTGCTGAGCCATCTCTCCATTCCCTAATAATCTCCCCTCCTGCCCCTTTTCTCTATATGTTTTCTGCCTGTATGTTTTTTTCTTAAATGGCTTTGTGCACTAGATACTGGGAGATTATCCCATTTGAAGGAACAAGACAGACATGCTTGAGCCCCCAGGGTGGCTCAGTGGCAGCAGGTGAGACGACTCCCACAAAATGTCCTGTTAGGTCACACACACACTCACAGCGGCACACGAACCAAATAATTAGAATATGACTTCGAAAAATGGACCTGGCGAACAGACCTTCCACCTGGAGCAGTGCTAGTTATCCAGGAACACCTTCACCCCCGGGATCTCTGTGCCTGTTAAATCACCCAGACAGAAGTGTCATTTTTCTATGACAGGAACAAGCATGCTGGCTTCCACCCCTCAGGGCCAGCCGAAGACCCCAGCACTGGGCTGCCCTTTATGGCTGGGAGGCCCAACTCAAGGAAAAGGGTGACTCCTCCCTGAGTGGCGCCTCTCTTTCCTGAGCCAGCTCATATAGGGAGTTCCCTTAAAAGCCAGCGAGCAGAATTGTGGGCCCCTCCAGAAGCCTCTTTGAGAATCAATCAGTTCCACTCTTCCCCCGCCCCCTGCAAAAGCAGCAGCCACCGTGCATCAGAAAGAAAGAAAAATATTTTAAAGAAAACTAAGACAACGGCCTCTCTTTTCTCCTCCCCATCCCTCTGCCTCACCAGCTCGCTGTCCCTCTGTCCTTGCTGCTGCAGCTGCTCTCAGGCTGTCTTTCTGGTGGAACTTAACAACTTCCAGACTAGTCCCAGCCTCCTTTTCTTTACCCCCTTCTCTTTGCCACGAACTGTTCACAGAGGGGCTGGGAGTCTCAGCTTCCTACCTCTGTGAAACGAAGTCTGTGTCCTGGAGCAGCGGGGAGGAAGATTCGCAGACGACAGAGAGTGATAGAGGAAGAGAAAAAGGAGTAGAGGAGAGGGAGAGATAGAAAGGGGAGGGGAGAGAAAAGAGAGAGAGGAGAGAGAGCGAGCACGAGAGAGAGAGAGAGAGAGAGAGAGAGAGAGAGAGAGAGAGAGAGAGAGATTGCTGCGGGGAGAAGGGAGGAAGGGGGAAGGGGGGAGTCGACCACTCACAGCCCCGGGATGGCCAGAGCTCGCCCTGAGACCCAGGCTGCTGGAGCATCAGCGATCCCTGAGCAACCTTTGTGTTGGGCAATGTTAAAATCGCGAAGCAGAAAGAGACCCCATAGGGTATAAACTCGGGCTGAGGGTGGAGCGAAGGATTTTTGAGAGAGAGAGACTGAGAGAAAGGAAGAGAGTGGAGGAGAGGGGTAGGGAGTGGGGAAATCCAAGCCTGATCCTGCTAGCTGCCAACTTGAAGAAGTCTTCGGCTCGCACTCCCGAGTTCTCTGCAACGCTGAAACTTCGGGTAGATCCGGGAGAAGGGACTCGGAGGGTGGGATCGAGAAGAGCGCGGGCGCACGGTGGGACTGGTGGGGGTTGCCCGCAGAACTCACAGCATGGCAGTGCTGAGCGAGGCCGCCCAAGAGCCGGCCAGGCCGGGCCTCGGAAGGGCGAGTCCCGCCCAGGTGGCCAGCTGGGACCACCACCGTCGCGGCGCGTCCCCTCCATCCCCGCGGAACTCGGGCTGCCGGGACTGTTGGGGAGTCCAGGCTCCGCAGCCGCTCCGGCGCTCGCCGCAACTCTCCTCCTCGGCGTTGTGCGCGGGCTCCCTGTCCGTGCTGCTGGCGCTGCTGGTGAGGCTGGTCGGCGGGGAGGTCGGAGGCAAGCTGGAGTCGAGTCAGGAGGCGGCGGCCGAGGAGGAGGAGGAGGAAGGAGCCCGAGGGGGCGTCTTCCCGGGCCCTCGGGGAGGTGCTCCCGGGGGCGGCGCGCAGCTCAGCCCTTGGCTGCAGCCGGCCGCGCTGCTCTTCAGTCTCCTGTGCGCCTTCTTCTGGATGGGCTTGTGCCTGCTGCGCGCCGGGGTGCGCCTGCCTCTGGCCGTCGCGCTGTTGGCCGCCTGCTGCGCCGGAGAAGCGCTGGTGCAGCTCTCCCTGGGCGTGGGGGACGGTCGCCTGCTGTCGCTGCCCGCCGCGGGGGTACTGCTCAGCTGCCTGGGTGGCGCGACATGGCTGGTGCTGAGGCTGAGGCTGGGCGTTCTCATGGTCGCCTTGACTAGTGCGCTCAGGACGGTGGCCCTGGTTTCCCTGGAGAGGTTCAAGGTCGCCTGGAGACCTTACCTGGCGTACTTGGCGGCTGCGTTGGGGCTGCTGCTGGCCAGGTACGCGGAGCAGATCCTGCCGCAGTGCTCCGGGCCGACTCCGCCCAGGGAGCGGTTTAGGTCCCAGCTGAGTGCGAGGACCAAGGAAGAGATTCCGGGGTGGAAGAGGAGGAGGCGGTCCAGCTCGGTCGTGGCCGGCGAGATGTCTGGCTGCAGCAGCAAGTCGCACCGGAGGACCTCCCTGCCCTGCATACCCAGGGATCAGGTAAGCTGGGGCTGCACCTTTGGGGGCGCTCAGGGAGGGGGGGGGACTTAAAACTGTGCAGGGTGTGAAACGCAGGCGATCGGGAAGGCAGCCTGCCAAACAGCACGACTTCACACTTACTAAGAAAGTAGTTTCTTTCTTTCTTTCTTTCTTTCTTTCTTTCTTTCTTTCTTTCTTTCTTTCTTTCTTTCTTTTCTTTCTTTCTTTCTTTCTTTCGCTCGTTCTCTATTTAGTGGAGTAGTTTACAAGCACAGCAACAGAAAACAAGAAAAAAGTGGCAAAATTAAGTGGCGGTGCGCGGACTTCCACAGCTGGGCATGTTTTCAAATCTCCTACACCTGGCTTGTGAGTCCCTGAGCTTCTCGAAGCATTTCTGCCCTCCCTAAATCTTTGGAATTAGTTTATTTGTCTATTAGAAGTAAGTGACTTTCAACACGTGTATTTTCTATATTTGTGTCTTTTTAAAAATGATAAAATTTATTTCTAATTAAGTGTTCGGTAAACATATAAAAGGCAGTAAAAGAGTTTCGGTAGCCCCGCAAGGCATCCTTGATGGTGAGGCGCCCACAGGCGCTTCTGCTTTGCAGTGGTTTTGGAGAGGCCGTATCTGATGGCCGCCATAGGGCTTTAGATACTGGTGTGTGCTGAACTCTGAACTCAGGTTTTACACTTGAGGGCTGCCTGTGAACTTTAGAATGGTGCAGAACTGGAAGCTATGCTTTTATTGTTCACTCAGAAAACTAACCTTTCTCGGGAGCGTTTACAAGCCTAGGTGGAGAGAAATTCAAGTGACTTCCTCAGGGTTTGCAGGAAACATTAATCCCGACTTTTTAAGATTGCTAGATATGTATCTTTGAGGAAGGAAGAGATGGGGGAGTTGAATCCAGAGTTGCATGTGCCAGTTTAGGCGGCTCTTTTTAGAGGCGGGGGACTGGAAGGGGGTCAAAAATGTCTTTAGTATCACAGAATAGTTACCCTGCATGGTATAGGAGAGTCATTTCCAATTGTATACACAAGTTGTACCTGAGAAGTTTTTTTCTTTTTCACTTCAGTTTACGCTGCCAGGTCTGACACTGGCTGAAGGGGATCCAGAAAGTTGACTCTGCAGTCTAAATGGAAATTTACACTTTTCCCATTTAAATTCATGCCTACCCATGATCCTGTTAGGATAATTTTCAGGGTACAAGGCTGTTCCTATGATAATAGCCTTTTTTTTTTGGTGGGGTGCTATTCTAGGGGTAATTGGTTAGGTGTTCCTTAGAATCATCAGTCACCATATGGTGTGAGTGGTTGGCTTGTTTCTGAAATGGAGTTGATTACCCAGCTGGGTGGCTTTTTGACTTTACATAGCAAACTGGATGAGAGCATCACATGCTCGTGCTAACTTTAAAACAAATGTATTTATTCTTTTGTTCAGCAGAAACAAATATTTCTGGGTTTAAAGAGTAAAGGGGAAAATGTAGGTCACTGACTGATACATAAATGTATAGAAATTTGGAGATGATTAGAATAAAGTAAGTTGAGTACAGATGGATGCACAACAGAGAACTTTTGCATGATTTTTTTCCATCAAAAAAATCACATTGACAACGCTTCTCTCTAACTTAAAGGAAATGTGATGAGGTTCTTGCCGACATTGATGCCTAATTTACAGGGAAAAATCTGGATTGAATCAGAAGCAATTGGACTCCACATTAATGCCACTTAGCCCTCAAAATTAAATTTCTGACATTTCGGATTAAGGGAGTTCAGAGTGGATGAGAGACCAGAAGGTCTTCAGGTGAATGGAACAGCTTTGCTGATAAACATAGATTTGTGTAGGTTTTTCCCCTGCTTCATGTTGGTAAGTGAAGGACTGCAATGATCTCATAAAGGCCTACTGGGCTTGTTTTCTTTCCCAAAGGTTTTATCGATTAATTACTTAGATAGTGCCCACTTATCATCTGTCCTGGTCATCTTTTTTGTTGTTGTTGTTGTTGAAGGAGTGTTGATGAGGAATGTTCTAAAGCAAGAAACTCTCACTTGGGGTGATAGGAAGCCATGGTTGCACGCAGCAGCAGCCTGGACCCTTGAAGTTTTAATGAGGGCATGGGTGAAGTCCTGCTCATGGAATGCTGGTTTTTATATATGACCCATTAAAGCTGTTGCTGGGCATAATTGTGGCCACAGGGTGGGGCTGACATGGAATAGTATCTTATGAGATAGGGTGAGGTGACAGCTCATACGTTGGCCGAACTCTGTGAAAAGGTTAGGAGCCATATAGTAAATGGCTTATCTTTCTTTTATCACGAGGAAGCAAACTTCTGATTAAGAGGGCAAAGGGTGTCATGATCATTTGCATACTTGACGAAGTCCAGAGTGAAAATAATTATAAAAGGAACATCTACCACTCCCCAGTGCTGTCCAGTCAGTTCTGTCTTGAGTAAGGCAGATCTTGTAGGCAACCAGTGAGTTTGAAATAGCACTGAGAGGCTGGCAGGAGAGAGACCTCCTAAGTATTGACTTAACTGCTGCTCACGGTGGAGTTTAAAAGTGAGACAGCTGAGGCACTTGTCCTTTCTGTGTGGGTGACAGTGACCACTGCTTATGAATTCCCTCTCATTAGTGGCCCAACTTTCTAAAAAGGCACAGGAGAATATATGCTAAACTTCTCATAAGGCAAGTCTGTCTTCCTCCCTCCCTCCCTCCTTCTTTCCCTCCCTCCTTCCTTTCTCTTCTGAAGTCTAGAATTACAAAGTCTATTGTCAAGATAGCACACATAGAATTGAGTTTGTAACACAGACAATTTGCAGCACGGAAAGGAAAAGCAAGTCTGGTTTTTGGTCAGAGAGGGAGGCACCAGGTGTGTCTTGCCAGCCCTGTAGAGGTCTTGATTTTAGATGACTGTGCCAAGCTACACTTTTTAGGCTGGTGGTCCAGGGAGACTGGGGTCTGCTAAGGTGTGTGTGTCCTCTGGAAGAGAATTCTTACATCTGACAGCAGCTATAGCCTTGTCAACTCGGAACTGTCCGCTGGCAACATCCAATATGCGAAATACTAGATTCAGTGAATGATTTTGATTAATGAGGGCTATTTTCAGCACGAAGTTAATTCAGCAACTCTCAACTTTAGGAAAACACTCGAGGCATCCCTGCTATCTATATGTATCACCGAGCACTATTGGACACTCAATTCCATGTAATGACTGAATCCAGCATACCCATTAATTTCTAATGGATTCCAAACCAAATCTAATTTTATTTTAGTTACCTGTTACTCATTTAATATTTCAAACATGTGGCTTCATAAGAAAAACAATACAAGCCATCCTGCTCTTTCCATGAATGCCTTTGAGACACACTATGGACTAATTTCTTTGGGATAGACACAAAGCTAGTCAGAAATGGAGGAGATACATACTTGCTTTGTCTTACTAAAGTAAAAGCTAACCTCTCCTGTGACTATTTCTCTAAACACTCAGTTGAGCATAATTAGCCTCTGTGAATCTCCTCACATTTAAATTATAACTTTGGTAGCAGAGAAGGGTCAAGTTGTTAATCACTGGGGTGAGAAGGATATTTTAAAACTAACCCTAACCCCTCAAACAATAAAATGAAAGATAGGATAATGGTTTCTGTGGTGGGGAGGGCACATGTCATGGGCTTCCTTATGCCATTGCTTAAAATCGAACGGAACTTGATAGTGTTCACAGTATAGCCACAAAGCATAGAAATATTTCATCTCAAATGATTTTGGGAACAGTGTTTTTAAAATTGTGTGTGTGTGTGTTTGTGTGTGTATGTGTGTGTGTGTTTGTGTGTGTATGTGTGTGTGTGTGTGTGTGTGTGTGTGAGAGAGAGAGAGAGAGAGAGAGAGAGAGAGAGAGAGAGAGAGAGTTTATACACTATAGCATGTGTTTACAGGGGTCAGAGGACAACCTACAGAACTTGGCCCTCCCTTCCACCATGTGTGTCCTGGGAATCATTCTCTGGTTGTTAGGCTTGGTGGCAAGTTCCTTTATCCACTGAGCCAGCATGCTGGTCCTGCAAGCAGTCTTAGTAGAAATTCAGCATTTAAAATGGCAAATATATATATATATATATATATATATAGAGAGAGAGAGAGAGAGAGAGAGAGAGAGACAGACAGCCAGACAGCCAGGAAAGTGCTCCATCACAGAACCACACCCTATTTTTCTCAACATGAAGAATGTTGTATACATTTCTAAATGTATTTGATATGTTGCTTATATTAAACAGATTTAAGAAATATGGGATTTTAAATTGTGGCTTCTATCATATTTCAGAATTATTCCTAAATTTATAATAATGTAAATAGAAATATTGATTATGACTTGGTGACAGAATTAAAATTTATTAATGTCAACCTCTGAAAAGGCAAACAAGGATTTCTGATCCTCCTGGGAAAGGTGGGAAAATAATGTTTTGTTTTCCAGTGATTTTTTTATGAATACAGATATTTAAAGCCTACCAAAGGGCCATTTTAACTAACAGAAATAGTCTGAAAATCTATATAAACTTCCCGAGGTTAGAGGGAGTGAAAACAGTCACTTTACTCTTTCTGTCTTGAGTCTAAAGTGTAAAAAGTTTAGCTGTGGAGCTGAAAGAAACAGTGTGTGCCGGGCTGTCATGTTAATTAAATAAAGAACCAGAACAGTGACCCTGTGTATGGGAAAGTCTGGGGGGAGGGGGTACAGGCGGGCTGGATGAGTGACACCGTCATGAAAAAACATGCATTTTATCTGCGGTGAGATTTGTGTGAATTTGTTGTAATTCTGCCGAGATTTAGCTCTGAGAATCATGTCTGCGCTCACCTGGCTACCTGAAGCCCTTGCCACACTGAACTTCCCAGGCTGACATTCTTCTCATAGGGTTCGCTGAGGTGGGGAGTTTATCAAACCAATAAGCCTGCTTCTATTTTAAAATTTCTTCAATTAATATGGTCCATGGTGGCCGCAGCTTACTAGAGTTTATGTTGACTTCATTGAAAACGCCTGTCGT